CATGCCTCTGGGAGCAACTCTGCACAGCATATCCCTTCAGATGACAGGGCAACCTGTGTGCCCAATACTGAATGAGTGAGTAAGTTTAGTTTTACGCCGCACTCAGCAATATTCCAGCTATATGGCGGCGATCTGTAAATAATCGAGTCTGGACCAGACAATCCAGTGATCAACAGCATGAGCATCGATCTGCGCAATTGGGAACTGATGACATTTGTCACCAAAGCCAGCGAGCCTGACCACCCGATCCCGTTAGTCACCTCTTATGACAAGCATGGGTTACTGAAGCTTCATTCTAACCCGGACCTTCACGGGTCGTGCCCAATACTGTAGATCCAATATTGTATCATGAGGTGATATATCTACTTACATAAGGACGACATGCTTTAAAAGAAAAGGTATAATTAAATATTACCATATTGTTGTTCCCTATAATGATGGAACACAGCATTTTTAAACCACTGATCACTTCTGTGCTAATGAAAAACCAGCTGCCCCTCTAAAGATCCATCTGTAACAGCCTCGATATTCAGCCTGCTTGTGACCTGTCCCTTTCAACCAAACTTTGTTAATAATCTATCACACCATTATTGACGAGCATGTCACATCAGCCCAAGTAGGGCTACAATCTGCTGGGGTTAAAAGGTCTTGTGTATACAGTGTAGTATACCATACTGTGGCATGTGGTTCTCTCTGTGAGGTGGGTTAACCCCTGCCTCTACATGCTAGCAACACAATACACAAAGTTAAGGAAAGATTACATAACTGATTGAAACCCTTTCTTGTTAAATGCTTCTCAACATAAGATTTACTGAACTGAACAGATGCGTCATTGAGTGAGCAAGTGAGTTTATTTTTACACCGTGTTTTAGTAATATTCCAGCAATATCACAGCAGGGGACACCACAAATAGACTTCCCACATTGTACCCATGTGGGGATTCGAACCCGGATCTTCGATGTGACAAGCAAACACTTTAACCACTTGGCTACCCCACCACCCCTGAATTGAGTGTAAACTCTTTATAGTGTATGATATTACACACAACTGAATATGTCACTTGCAGTTCCCTAACAACTAATGAGGATTAACAATTTAACCATAAGCTACCCACCGCCCCCAAATGCGTCTGAATTATGTACCTATAAAAATAAAATTTTCTTCCAGTTACAAGACGGTTTTAACTGACTCCATGCCTCTCACTGCAAAACATGTACAAATACTGCCTGAGATTAATTTAAGTTAAGATCCTGTAAACAGGTGGTGGACCTCATGAGCAACCACACATGCCTTTGAGGCATGATTCCATACAATCCGTCAGATCACAGATTGTGTTTGATTAGAGCCCCACCATTGCCAGTTCTCTCAGCAAAAACTGAACTATAATGATCTATTCTGTCGCGGAATCCCATCTGGGAGCAATGCAAGGCATTCTGGTAACCTATTCTGCCTCAACATCTCAACAGGAGAGTATGGGATACAGTGGTTCATTTCTGCCTTGGATCCCAGACTGTGACAAGAACGAGACCATGCGGCATTATTCTGCCCCGAAAATATCCACAGTAGGGTTCTGCTGTGACTCTGATACTGAAAATGGTAAAACACACATCAGCACAGCACCATGCCGTCATCTGTTCCACAAGGCCTGCTGTCAGCACAGTCACTGCCAATGAATAGGACATATTCCTCAACATTTCCCAAATATAGTGTCAACAAATGGTTCACATGTCTATACGCTGACCGCGCCTGAGAGAATATACCCAACCATCTGTGTAATAAAACCACATCAAGCCCTGTTGATCATGGCCGATGAATAATAGATGTGGATGAAGGTCTACGGACATCCATTCATCCCCAGCAATCAATAGATATTGAATACATGGTTGTTGCCTTTTGGACTGACACACAATTCCATCAATCAGGGTTCCAACTGCTGTACCGCTATTCTCACCACTCACAAACAATTTATGTCCATGCATGTACAGGATTGTGGATGAATACCGGGCGGGGCAGGAGGCAACAGGTTACTTATACAGTTAACAGAATTTGTTTATCTCTCTTTATTGAATTCATGTTATTTTTGCACACTCCTGTCTCAGACAGACTTAAGAGTATGAGTGTGAATCTGAGAGCATTAGCATTACAAATAAACACCACAAAGATGTGGGAATTCTTACTCCTCATCCCCAAGCTGCTTGTAACCTAAGAATCCTATCTTCTCTGGTATTAGGAAAACATGGCAGTATTTGTATAAGGTGTTATTGGCATATTCAGAACATTTGTACAATACATATTCTTTCTTTATTCTTCAGCATGTCATTTATTATGTTTGCCTTGAGAATAGTTCATACTCAGCAAAAAAAAACATTACTTTTTTCCTAGTTATTGCCAACAGGAGACTTTGTTCTCATGTCTGTACAAGGTTGAAATGTGTCTTTCACTTTTATAGTATAGAAACTAGTGATTCACACAATACTATTCTCCTTGAAACAGTACTTGTTTTTTCACAGCAGTGAAATTAACCTTTCAGGTCATATATCTGAAACTTAAGACATATTTGTAATTACGCATAACACTTCAATTCATTTGATACTAACACTTTAACTGGTGTCCAAAACATTCATTATGGAAGACTCTTTCATTCATATGCTTTGGTTTTAAATCCTCAGATAATATAAATCCTAAATTTTAAATCATTTAGTAATATACATCATAAATTCTAAATCCTACAATAAGTAAGAAGAGAGCCATTGTAACAATCCTCTCCTGGGTTCGTAGCATTACGAGGAATCGTAAGTATATAATTTATCATAGCCTTACGAACATCGTAGCTATGAACGCTTTGGATCGTGGCCCTGAACACACCTGCCAAAGTGATAAATACAACAGCTCTAGGTTATCCAGCACACCTCTGAATATTGTTTTATGGCACAATTACAACTGTTCCATCAATTTGTCAAAATGATTGATTGATGACACACGAAAACAATACACCGATTGAGTATCCTCCAACCACAACCAGCTGATCAAATCACTCCACGAGAACAAGAATATCAGATGTGATCACACTCCGACCCTTAAACACAGCTGAAGCTTCAAAACTAGACTAATGCTTAGTCTCTGAAAATATCTAATTTTGCTGTAAACAACACTACGTACTAATTTAACATGCGCCCTAGCAAGATGGAAGAATCAAAACCTGTTGAAAATCTAAACTTGTTTCATTTAGGGCTATAGTATTGCAGTAAGCAGTCGGCAGAAAGGAAAATAATATGTTTCAGGGACTGTGGGACAGACTTCTTAAGAACATAGTCAGGCCTTGACTTTGTATGCAGTTCACTGTCTTAGTGTAACGAGGGAAATTAATAACTGCTGGATTACGATTCATATTAACATGTCAATCATCAGTCAGCACCAAGACTACCGATTGCCCTATCCCAGAATACATACAAGTACAACTAGTTGTAAGTTACAGTATAATACACAATAAGCCTAATAAAGGACATATATCATCCATTTGACAACATCTGACCCATCTCATACAGGAAAGGTTATCTTACTGTAATATTTACTTATGAAAAATGTTTTCAAAACTGATAAGACTGCCGAGTGTGTATGATAATCACTCGACATAGCTGAGTTGCTTGGGTGAAGGCTGAAACACATCGATAAGTCAGTATTTCAACAGAGTTTGTATGACAAAACGTATTGATTAATAACAACACATTGAAGCTGGACAGATCAGTTTATTTGAACAGGCTTACAGTTCAGATCAATTATCGCACACTGTGTTTGTGAACTGAACAACTGTTTGTCACTTGGATATTTAGCACTTATATATACTCTGAAGTGCAGAGCTCCATAACAGATGCAGAAACTGTCACTCCGACCTATCATATTTACAGTACACTATCAGGTTAACACAGTCATGAGGGCTGCTGAAAACTAAGTTATTTATTGAAAGTCAGCTAAACATTATGAAGAGGATGTCAATGAGATTATTGTCAACAGAGTGATAGGTCAGACTGACAAACTGTTTGTCCTATCTGTGACTGTTGAGGCAGAGTTGATCCACGTCTCCCATTAACATAAACAACAAAACACAAAGAAACTTTATCCTTCAGACCTACCTAAGTCCTTCACCTTCCTCAACAATAGAATTAATGGTGTATGTTTCTGACCCAAAGCTAATTTAATCCCTGTAAAATTAGCACTAGATCTTACTTCAGACCATATAATATTATTTTTTATAACATGACTTCTATCCTGTCATAAAATTTTCATTATTAGCAAGAAATCTTTCACAATACATGCATTTTCTGTGGTTGAGTAGGGCTGGACAATCCCATGCTGCTACAGGTAGCTTTGCTTCATTGAAACTTTACAACTCTCCTTCAGTGGCACAAACAGCTACTTGTATAGATTACAAGAGGGTTGTAAACAAATTGAAAGCAACATAAAATATTCTATGGATAGTGAAGGATGAATTTTCTCCTTGAGTGGAGACTGACAAGACAACCACTGATGACACTGAAGGTATCATCGGGCTAAGGCAAATCTTCCCTCACTTTTACATAAGCCAGGGGTAAAACTGTCACACTTTGTATAATGCTGGTATTTCTATTAAGAACAAAATTATTGCTGCCTTAACATGCATAAGAAATCATTAACAATACCTCCAAGGTTTAGAAAATTTCTAATTTCAAATTTCTAAAATACAAATATATTTTCAATAAACTTTCCAAAACATTAATTCCTTCAGATGCAGTTATCTTAAATTGCATAGCATTATGAATTCTCATAAATATCAAACAAATTTCACTTTTTTCACACAATTAATCTTTATATACCGCGGAATTAATTAGACATACACCCCACAAGTATTTCAACAAGACTTCCTTCGTTGCAGTAAAAATTTCAGAAGTTCATACACACTGTCTCTACATTATTTGTCTGAGGGCTGATAAAAAACTTATCCTTTTACCTGTAAATCTGAACAGGTGAACCATGAAGTGGACCAACTACAAAATCCACCAGGAGGATCTATACCATGAAACTGACATACTTCAGGGCCTTTGAACAAGCTCTCTGAAAGAGTTCATTCTATTTTCAAGGTATCCTGAGTTCCAGCACAGGTAAGGGGCCCTGAGGGGGTTTTAGGGGGTTCCTTACATACTGAACCAAAAATGTTAAGGATCATGAACATTCTATGTTCAAGGTATCCTGAGTTCCAGCACAGGTAAGGGGCCCTGAGGGGGTTTTAGGGGGTTCCTTATATACTGAACCAAAAATGTTAAGGATCATGAACATTCTGGGGGATTTGATTGTATTAAAAACTGTTCACACAATGTCATAAAAATATTACGAAAAGTATTTCTGATCCCTGTTTCAGTTCAACATGTTATCACTAGATGTTTTAGATATATTTCTACTGTTGCACTTATAGGAGGTTTACAGCACCCCACTAGATCCTTCCATCCTGTAACCTGCTGTACCCGTGTCAGTGATATCCTGGTTAACACAGCACCTGCATCAGATGTTGTTACAGGTGAACTTGATGAGACATAGTTACAGGGGTTTCTTAATCTACAAGTACCACTACTTGTAATTATGTAAACATCAGATAACACGCCCTGTGGCTAACAAACATAATTGGATACTCTTCACTGTTTCACTGTAGATAAAAATAGTGAATAATATGAAACTTACCAAAATGTATATCAGTTATGATTATAGTATAATATGATATCGCTCCTGGACCTGAGCTTGCTTCATCGTCAGTTAGCTCTCTATCTAAAATCTCTTTAGACAGAACTTTTAAAAATAGTTAACGAACAGCATCAGCCCCACTTTTTAACAAAATGGAAATACATATTTTTTTCCTTGCCATGTGTACAAAATTGATCACCACGGCTTTGTCCTGGTGTTGAAAGGGGCAGATAAATATATTTTGGCATGAGGTATGCCATTTTCTATTTTTATCTGTGTTTTGCTCAGGTAACCTGAATCCTGACATGTATTTACCATCCCACTTGTTTACACAAATCATCAGATTTCCATGGTTACTCATAAAAACAGAAAGAATTGGCAAAAGTTATGATGTATGCTCAAGGCCATAGCGAAGATCATCTCCATATTTACAACTGAAATACTTATAAAATAGTTACCTGGATCCTAACAAGTCTCTAATACTTTATATTTTACACTAAAAATACATGTTTTTGATTTTGGTCAGGAAAGATCTATTCAAACTAAATATGTGTTGTACATTACATTTTATAGATATTATGTTAAATCTGCATTAGTGTAAGTAACAGTACACATTAATTTGATGTTGAAGTTCTGGGGTTTATCTAGACTGTTCAGAGACTTTTCGACCCAAACGTCTCGAGCAAATGTCAGTAAAAGTTCATCATTAGAAATTAACAATTTTGATTCTATGTACATAATGTAGGTAATATTGTGGCTCAGTAGAGGTAACTGTATATCATTATCAACAGGACCAGTAACAGGGAACAGGCTTATTTGTACATTATTGCAATGTTAAATTACCTTAGATCATAGGGAAAAAAAGAATTTTGAAAGTATCCAAATTTTTAAGGAACCAATGATTTATTACCCAATTTGCCTGCCAGGCACACTTAGCTTAAAACCTACAAAAATGTAAATGCTGCTGTCATATCAATGTCTGAATATGCTGCTGTAATACAGAGACATGTAAACAAGTGTGACACACATTTACACCATGTAATAATCTCTGGTCTCAAATAGAATGATATTACTGCACAAGAGATGAGAGAAAAGAGTTTTCTCAGCATTGTTTTTAATAACTACGTAAGACATTGTGATCTGGTATTAATCATTAAATAAATGCTTCAGGAAGACAGCAAATTTTATAATGGCAGTATTCTACGACTTCCAAAGAAATGTTTATTCTTAAAATTGAGTACGTATTACAAATGAAAAGGAGATTTACTCACCTCTATATGAGCCATGGTACAATTTGTACAATGAACTTGAGTATTTCACTGCCTTAAACTAAACACCCTAACTTGGGTGTACACCAAAAACTGATATAAATCATTATTTTTTCTGATCAGTATGCATTCAAATTACAGGAAACAACATCCCGTTGACTAGAGCCCAAATTACTTATCACATATCTACGAAATGAGATTAAAATACTTAGGGGTGCGTTACGCAAAATGTCCCAATGGTGAGCCAGTGTTATATTGTCAGCTGTTATTATGCTTATCAACTGTTTATAGTATTGGGTCAGCATGCATTAGCGGCCGACCTAATCAGTGATTGTGTGAAGTTTGTGTTATATCGCGCTTCAAACTGGCGGTGTAATTCACAAGTTTATAAGTCGCTAAGAGCCGCAGTCACTGTGACCAAAACTGGAGTCAGTGATGTAATTGATGAACCCACTTGGTACTGAACCTGGAATCGGTGTCAAGTGTGTTCTTATGAACGTGTATACTTAGCTAGACTACATGCACAAAATATAATTCCAGATGACAAACTCACCCCCTCCACTTCCCCAGCGTCCATGCCGCTACTTCCTACGAAATACGCTACAACGGGGTAGACGGTTCATTCACAAATACAGGTGCCCCGCCTTCGATGGGGCTTGGGTACACAGCTTTTAGTGTTTATCCAGCTCAAAACTACCTTCCTCATGACTGTGTACAGATACGTCGCCGGCGCGTCGTCTGCTAGAGGAGGCATTAGGTCAAGCGCGATCGCCCGGGGAGATTCACCGTGAAGTGACTTTATAAGGGTGTAATTGATGCGAATCACCTACAGTAGCCATACGGTACAAACTAATCACCTGCGGCTCTCACTTACAATGACTAAAGGATCAGCTGTTTAGCAATAAGCGCTTGAGTGGTGTAATTGGGATATCAGTGCGATCAGTGAAGCATGACACGTCCTTTCCACGCCCTGTATTCCACGTATTCGATATTCAGTTAACTCATACCAATAATTTCAAATACGTCTAAATATACGGAGTGAATTATAGAGGTATTTCATGGCAGTGTTTTGATCGATACATAAACACCACGTGGGTCATGACAAAAGGGCAATAATGAGGTTATTATTCATTCATAAGCTCCAAAACTTTCAATTTACTTTGCGAACTGCTTGAATCCATATTGTTCTCGTGAAATATAATCTAATAAAACGTACCCCCTAGGTTGGTTCAACTTAAAAGCTCCGGATGTTTTATGTATTGAAATATTTCAGTATTTGATGACTGTGACACTTTAACTCAACCGAGTGCCCGAGTGTACCAGACTCGATGGCTCCGCTGTACTAGAGGTTAAGGGTCACAGGTGAAATTCATGAATGATCGGCATTTTAATATCTCTGTGATTGAGATAATCCTGCTGTTCACGCTTGGCAAAGAGCCTTCAGTTCTTCTCGCAATGGTGATCATCGAAGTTAAACTCTTGACAAGCTAACACAAATGAAATCACTCATCCGAGAGGTCACCGGGTACGAACAGATTGTATGATTGTTATCAGTCGCTGGGAAGAACGTATCGTGATTATAAACCATTCTTCAGATCTAATTTAGCTCATATCATTATTGTAGAACTTGCAGTTGAAAGGTGTGTCTAATAATATATATAATTTCAAATCGTAACATGCATAATGACACTAACACATGTTTACTGATATCATTAGTCGTACATCAGCGGCTGGAGACACCCACTTGTGGAGGCCCCAATACCAAACTACTTAAACTCAAACTGATATTTTAGTGACTTTATCAAGCATAGACATTGTCAGGCATCAACAATTAAAGCAGAGAATCCGTTCAATTGTTAATCCTCATTGAGTTATTAGGGAACTCCAGTGACGTTTTCAATTGTGTTTAGTATCATACGCTATAAAGAGGTTACACTGAATTGAGGGTGGGTGAGGTAGTCTTGAGGTTAAAGTGTTCGCTCGTCACGCCGAAGACCCGGTTCGATTCAACACATGGGTACAATGTGTGAAGCCCATTTCTGGCAATAAAATTAGAAGGGTCGGTCGGGCGATGAGAAGCAAAAAAAATGCTGGCCTAATCGTATAACTTAATTTTTTTTAAACTAGTATCGTCATACTGATGATTAGATTTATTATAATGGCGTCTGCAGAGGTGATGGTGCAAAATCCAGTACTACAACGTGTCCCTCCTTTTAAAGATAATCATTCTGAATTTGGAAAACATGTGATATCAGCTTATCAACTTGGACTTACCTCTCATTTGTCAGTGCGGAGGCCACACCATCATGACTGATCATGAAGGCTGGGTGTCTGGACCAGGTCAAGTTGTCTGGCTGGTTTGTTGTTTAACGCCGCACTCAGCAATATTCTATCTATATGGCGGAAGTCAACCGTTCGAGTCTGGACCAGATAATCCAGTGATCAACAGCATGAGCATCGATCTACACAATTGGGATACGATGACATGTGTCAACCAAGTCAGCGAGCCTGACGACCCGATCCCGTTAGTCGCCTCTTACGACAAGTATGAGTTGCTGAAGACCAATTCTAACCGGATCTTCACGGGTTAGACCAGGTTAAGCATTATGATCTACATCGATTGCCATTCGGTCTGCTTAAATTAAGGCCTATACTGTAACATAGGAGGTACGAAAAAAAAGTCTTAGGTGATAAATTAAATACCCCAAATGTGATGATCTATGGTGAATGCGGTCGCTTCCCACTTTATCTAGAAGCACAGATAAAAGTTATCAAATACTGGGTAAAGCTCTTGAATATGCCTGCATCAAGATTTCCTAAGAAATGTTATAACATGATGTATTTGTTTGACACCAACGGAAAATCAAATTGGGTAACGAATGTTAGAAATTTACTAAATCATTGTGGTTTTAGTGATGTATTTTTGTCACAAAAGATTACTTGCCCAAAGTCATTTTATAATGCTTTATCGCAAAGATTAAAAGATATGTACATTCAGGCCTGGAACTCATCTTTAATACAGTCGCCAAAATCCACTTTTTACAGTACTTTTAAATCTTTTTTCCACACAGAGCAATACCTACACGATATCAATCTTAGAAAATTCCACGTTTCATTATCCAGATTTAGATGCTTTTCACGTTATTTTATGATCGAGAAGGGCAGATATTAGTAAACTTCGTATGTATATCCACCATGCTTTTGAACAAAGAAAATAACGTTTGCAAACATTGTGATTGTATGCCATTATTGTTTTTATATTTTGTACTTTAGGCCTACGGCCTCTTCAGTAATGGAATAAAAAGATTTGAATGCTACGAGAAAAGTTACGAGATCTTAGGCTTACGAGAGCTTTGTGAAACGGGGCCCAGGTTAAGAAGACGAGATCATTGAGATGAATAATCGCTGACTAAATATCGACCAATTATCTTTAAAAATATCGGAGACGTAAATTAGACGAACAAGGCAAAAATGTCCAACAGAATTCCAACATCTTCCGGTGAGTGGTGGATTATTAACAAAAGAGCGTTCTGAACATAATTTAGAAGCAGCCCATAAACACAGACCTATCTTTGCGTATTGCGTGAGTTTATTCAAGCTTTATTTCATTACAATAGTTTATGGACTATATTATCGACGACACAATTTTCACATCAGTAATCGTTAATAATTAGGAGCTAATCCTATTGTGTTTACATTTTGGAAGTGATTATAGTTGGTTGAACGCTGCTAAATGTCATTTAAAACCGAATGCGTTGGGTGATTGTTCAGTCATTTCATGTTGGAACCAGGCTGGGTCAATATTTTCCTCCATATCCGATCAAACACCTCAAAGAATTCGCCGGGGTCAAACGTAACAGTTTCAGACGACATGTTTGTTTACTTTTGTAAGGGTTAATGAGTGCAAAATATTCCTACGCGCAGTGAACCGGCTCTCAGAAGTGGTTATTGAAAAACTTTCACTTCTAATTTTTTAGTAACAGCCAATCAAAAACGAGCATATTTAAATTTGATGGTAGAATTCTTTTTAACGGCATTTCCGATTATCGATCTTTTCAGCCAGTCTTATTAACCAAGGCTATAAACACGAGCACTGACACGCAGACAGTCAAAGAAGACGAAACCTGACCACCCGGTCCAACATGGTCAGTTCCTACGTCTCGTTTATAGATGCCCGATCTAGGAGAATTCCAACACTGTTTTGTCTGTTTTTTGTGGAGCCGAACCCAAGGCACAGCTGACGCATGACTGTTGCTGAACCTCCGCTTGTAAATGGGAGAAATGGCGAAAGTGACGTGAAGGCGAATGATATGATAGTGACGTCTGTAAATGGATAAATGGTAAACCCTATAGATCGATATTTGGAATAGACCGTGGATATGGCATGCGTCAACTGTAAACAGTTTGTCATCTATCACTGTTAATGATATCGTATATCCAGATATAACAACACTTCTGTGTATTCGCGTACTTTCAATCCTTTGCTGAGGGAGGAAATTAAAAAAATTCCAGGTGTGTTTTATTTAGTTGGCCTCAAAATTCCATCTCGATTTGAGTATGATAATACTGAAATCCAATGATATTTTTTTTTATTACTATTGCTGTTATGTCGTATTTTACATTGTATATTTTTTTAATGACTGAAGCAATGTTTATTTTCTAGCAGTAGGTTTGTGACAGAAAATGCAAGCATTGATAATCGTATTATTCAACAGAAGTCTTTTGCGGCCGAATAATGTTATTAGGTTTGTGGTTAATAGTACAGTGAGTCCAGAATTGCATTGCGCATGTCCTGCGGGTTAAGAATGTAAACTTCCGCTGAACGACGGCGGAGAGTATTCCTTACAAAATGTCAATTTTGACCCGCAGAACATGAGATGAATAAATAAATATGTATTATTTTAAAGATTACAACGGGGGAACTGGAGCAGATGACCTCCAAAGCTCAGTTCGAGGTGATTTAGATTGAATAGCCAGTAAAATATTAACTCAGAAGTCCTAATGACATGTCGAAACTGGTAGATTCTCTAAATAACGTGTTAAATACTCGAATTTATCATATTTGCTTGTTTTTTATTTTATGTCCATGCAGAACAATCGTGTCTTTACAATATCATTCGATAATGTAAATAGAATGTAAGAACATATAGTTACTAGCCCGCTTCGTGATCACTTCAAGTTCAACAGAAAATATATTCTCAATCATTCCATAGACTGACATTCGGAGCTGTTGTTTTGTACACATCACACTATATTGCCACTGCCTTGGTAAACAGAAAAGTACATACTTTTTATCAACGTTATAGAGTATTTTGAGAAGTATATGGCATGATATAAATGGAAGAATGATGACTGTCTCTCCTGGTTACAGCAAGATGCAAGGCATCTATGGAAAACACAGATTTAAATAAATGCCAAAAGATTATAACCATGTGCTTATGAGACTTATTGAGGTCACCACGAAATTGATGCAGTAGGATTTCAACAATGATACACTATGATTCTCTTGAGATAGTTTTGAAAGTCCAAATATAAGGGAATTAAATACAGGACAAGAAAAAAGGAACACAAGTTCAGACCCTATTAACCCTTTTCTGTGAATATATTTTAACAAGCTCAACAAAAACTGATAGGTGAAATGAAAAGAGATTTTGAGAATGATAGTTGTGGAATTGTTAAAACAACAACTTTTTCCATGGTTTCATACACTAGATCGAGCCAATGACAGCTTGAATGAACTGAGAGATGCTTTCGACACGCCATCAGGCTTGCCAACTGGATCCAGAGCTAAGGATGACCTAACACGAGCTGTTCATCCACGCATTTTGACCTATGAAGATGGAGGACAGAGGCCACAGAAGTATCGAGATGCTGCACAGCAGCTCCAACAGATGCTGGCACCACAGTCTGAAAGGGTATGACTGAAGTGACTGAACATGCTGAGGTAGTTCAAACTGTAATTTTAAACCAACCACTGGTAATAATTTAGTTTCAGGGCCTGAGGTTGCTTCCATCCCACAAATTGGTCACAGTGTCTCCTTCTTTGAACCCCACCATATACACACAACAGTAACAAGTTGCCTGAAACAAACCATGTAAATCCATGAAAGAGTACTGTTTCATGTAATCATAAAAACTGTAAAATGACAGATTACTACCCTGCTATTCAATCATATACCCACTATGTGGAAAACATCTAACATTGTACCATTCCCGAAAAGGCAAAACCCGTTGCTCTGACATCGGTAGCCATGAAGTGTCTGGAACGCATTGTGAAAAAGCTACTTATGCGCGAGGTTGAAGAACATCTAGACCCGCTCCAGTTTAATTACCGGCAGAGAAGAGGCACAGACGATGCCACATTAACCCTCCTGAATCTTATCTATAAACATTTAGAACAAGATGGATCATATGTGAGAATTCTGTTCTCTGACTTTTCCTCCGCATTCAATACCATTCAGCCACACTTACTTCTGTCCAAACTAACAAACTTAAGTGTGAACAGCAATCTGATCAGATGGATAGACTCTTTCATGACTGACAGACCTCAGTATGTTACTGTTAATGGAATCAGTTCCTCGGTTGCCAACCTGTCCCCTGGAGCTCCACAAGGATGTGTTTTGTCACCCGTATTGTTCATCATTTATACCAACGATTGTATCTAACAGCTAACTGTTTCATTATCAAGTTTGCCGATGACGCAGCAATTGTTTCACTTTTAAAATCTGCTGACCTTGATTACAAGAATGCAGTCTTGAATTTTACTAATTGGTGTAAAGATAACTTTCTGGTTTTAAATGTTAAGAAAACAAAAGAATGATTATAGATACATATGTTGGACTTGCCAAAGAGCATGGTTTATGTAACAGTGTTTTTGGTATACTACTTGTAATTACCCATGTGCCTTTGTTCAACAGGTGCCTGATGCCCCAGACACCTCACCTGCGCCTCCTCGGGGACCTCTCCCAACACCAGAGGAGGCAGCCATAATGCTCCAGCACCAGGCTTCACTCACCCACCACCTGGAGTCAGAGAATCGCTACATCAGGGTGAGTTGCGACTTCTTCAGGCCAACAATACTACATGGTCGAATTGCAACTGAGTTATTGTGGGCAGTATAATAGACTTACGAATCATTACCATTGCTCATATAGGATTTAGCAGTTGGGTAACCCAGTGGTTAAAGTGTTTGCTCGTCACACCGAAGGCTGGGTTCGATTCCCCAAATTGGTACACTGTAAAGCCCATTTTTGGTAGTCCCCAGCTGTAATATTGCTGGAATATTGCTAGAACCAGTACAATCCAACTTACTCAAATAGAATTCACTTTTCAAATTGCTCTGTTTTGACCATGCTACTGTTTTCTTTGATCTATAATGTTATTTATTCCAACAGAACTACTAGTCAGCACCAGAGTCAAGTGAAAGTGTAGTAGACTTCAGATTTATCTCATAATGTGTTAGGATGCAATTGGATGGTTATTGTTTCATGTTTCAGGAAGAGATGGCAATCTTGCGCCTGAAGCTGGGGGAGCTGCTTGATGAGAACAAGCACCTTCACAATGAGCTAAAGACGACGGTGGTGCATGAGATACTCCGAGAAGGAGGTGCAGATCTTGCCCAGGTATGAGGGCTATCATTCATGTATACCTTCACTCAGGGATATATGCTGGCACATGGAGCTGTCATCTAAAGCACTGCAATGCTTTGGCTGAGTTGTGTCCCTTTACCTCTGATTCTGGGTTCAAAATTCCAGATTTGCCCAATTTATGATCCTTGTTGTGTTAGAACATGTTTGTGGGTTTCACAGGGCTAAACAACTACATCTTCCCACAATAGCGTACATGTCATGAAACACTCTCACAACCCAAATGATCCACAAGTCAATTACTTGGCCAAGTAAAGAGAGTTAATATCTAAATGTTAGGTGTAACTTTGAGCTGCAACACACCTTCTCTCCTACAACTTTGTTACTCTGTGCTGTCTGTAGGTCAAGGAAGGAAGCTACACAAAACAGGACGTTATGACACTCATTTCATAATGAGGTTGATCTCTGATTGAATGAAAACAGTACTACCACTATCACAATATGTCAAAAATACTGCAGGTTTAAAACCACAATGAAAGATATAACCACTGTATAGATATAACCACTGTATAGATATAACCACTGTATAGATATAACCACTATAGATATGACCACTGTATAGATATAACCACTATAGATATAACCACTGTATAGATATGACCACTGTATAGATATAACCACTGTATAGATATAACCACTCTAGATATAACCATATAACCACTGTATAGATATAACCACTGTATAGATATAACCACTGTATAGATATAACCACTATAGATATGACCACTGTATAGATATAACCACTGTATAGATATAACCACTGTATAGATATAACCACTGTATAGATATAACCACTATAGATATAACCACTGTATAGATATAACCACTATAGATATAACCACTGTATAGATATGACCACTGTATAGATATAACCACTGTATAGATATAACCACTGTATAGATATAACCACTGTATAGATATAACCACTGTATAGATATAACCACTATAGATATAACCACTGTATAGATATGACCACTGTATAGATATGACCACTGTATAGATATAACCACTGTATAGATATAACCGCTGTATAGATATAACCACTGTATAGATATAACCACATCTGTAGTGCAGATGTTCATGTTTACTTCCTTGTCTTGAGTTGGCGATGGATCTGTTTCAGTACATGGGCAACCTGGACTCTGCGCTGAAGGACTCAGTGGGTCCAGGGATGGCGAGACAAGACTACAGGCGCTGGCAGGTGGAGCTGGTAGGTTCATGCATGGATAATTTCATCTTGTGGTATTGCTTTACCCTGGTGGGACTGTGTGAAGGAATGGCTCTGTGTCACTCATGTGTTGTGAGAGCTCAAGTTGGGTGGCTGTCTGATTATGTCATCCCAGCCTTCTTGGATTTGTATAAACACAAAGCGCCATGCCTCAGCTGGAATATTGCTGACTGTAGATTGAAACAAAATTCAATTATACAGTAAGGCTGAAGAAATAACATGTACATGTATTGATATGAATCTTCTAAGGTTTGGTGTCCCCCGCTGTGATATTACTGGAATATTGCTACAAGCATCATGAAACCTTACTCACTCACTCTAAGGTGGATTGATAAACAATTCTTGCTTGCTTTCTCATCTTTTTGTTTGTTGTCAATACATTTTGGATATACGTAACATTGTGCAAGACATGCTTTCTATACTGACTACAAAACACAGCAGAGAGCCTTGTGGTGCAGTGTCATCTTTACCTTTCAGGAGAGGCTGAGTTCTCTCCATGCCAACAAGTCGGAGCGCCTGGAATCCCAGTTGGCACATGCAAGGTAGGATATGTCCTTGTGGAGATGTCAGATGTAGCAACACGACCACTTAACCATCATGTTGCATGATATGTTCCTGCTCTTGATTCAGCAGAGGTGACATAATCATGGAAACTTTGTGAATGACGTAATTGCTCAAAATATTTTAAGCAGGGGAAGAATTTCGGATTAGTAATTGATACCTAAAAGAGACCATGTTAGAAAAGGACTTGTTCCCCTTCCATGTGTTACAAGTAGACTAAAGAGTAGTTCCCCATCGCTGTGTTACAAGAGTTATTCCCCTTTCCGCTGCTTCAAGAGATTTCCCCGTAATACAAGAGTTGTTCACTTTCATTCTCATCTTATTCCTCTACCTTCATAATACCCCATGCAACAGTATGATACAAATATTTAATGTATTGACTCTATAACTAGTTTTATGTGGATTCCTGAAGGTGCTGGCAAAGTGACAAAATAATGTAACAAGAGTCGTTTCCCTTCCCTTCTCCTTTCCATGTCACACATTCAGTATCCTACCACCAACACCTGTGTTGTGGAGCAACCATTATGTCTTAACATTATACTTGGGGCGGTGGGGTAGCCTAATGGATAAAGCGTTGGCTCGTCATGCCGAAGACCCGGGTTCGAATCCCCACATGGGTACAATGTGTGAAGCCCATTTCTGGTGTCCCCTGCCGTGATGTTGCTGGAATATTGCTAAAAGCGGCGTAAAGCCAAACTCAGTCAGTCGGTCAGTCAGTATCATTATAATTAGGGTTATATTTCTACAAAAACGGCTCAAGACAAGTAAATTGAAACCATATTCTCACTTACATTTTCATCACACTGGCTGGCTGAGTTAAGGATAAATTCCAGTTGACATATGCATGTCTCATTGCTTGTAGATCAGCAAAAGGCCCTGTCTGTTATGAGTTTATCTCTATACTGGCTGTCATGCTGAGGAGCTTTGACAATTGTACAAGAGTTGTTTCCCCTTGCCAGGTCAGAGCTGGAGAAGTATGAGCAGATGGTGGAGGATCTGAGGTCTCAGCTGCGGATACATGACTCCATCCCGACACACGAGAATGGACTGTCGACCACCATGTTCCTGTCTGACACACACCGCAACTTCCACCAGCAGACCATCGACAGGCTCACCAAGTAAGACTGTACTACTGAACACTCACCATAGGGCTTGTTCTATTCAGTCTTTACTCGCCAATGACAATTTGCTGTATTTAGCACTCACCATTTAGAGCTTGTTCCATGCGACAGACACAACATTTAGTACTTGTTCTATGGGACTGACTCATCAAGTGGGATTTCTCTCTATAGGGTCTGCCTAGCTAGGGGTAATCATGAATACTTTTAATGAAATAGAAAAAGACTAGATAACATTTTAGACCCCATGCCTTTGCAATTACAATAGGTATAGCATCATAAAAGGCATTTTAATTTTCATGATATTTTAAAACATGTCAACTAACCTGAAAGCAGATCTTGACTATTATCAGAGTTCAGTAATTGCGGAGCTTGATGAGTTGATGAGCATTTCCCTTGACTAACTGTGTGTTCTGTGTGCAGGGAGCTTGATGAATTGATGTACCATTGTCTGCCAGAGTTATTTCCCTTGACTTACTGTGTGTTCTGTGTGCATGGAGCTTGATGAGTTGATGTACCATTGTCTGCCAGAGTTATTTCCCTTGACTTACTGTGTGTTCTGTGTGCAGGGAGCTTGATGAGTTGATGTACCATTGTCTGCCAGAGTTATTTCCCTTGACTTACTGTGTGTTCTGTGTGCATGGAGCTTGATGAGTTGATGTACCATTGTCTGCCAGAGTTATTTCCCTTGACTTACTGTGTGTTCTGTGTGCAGGGAGCTTGATGAGTTGATGTACCATTGTCTGCCAGAGTTATTTCCCTTGACTTACTGTGTGTTCTGTGTGCAGGGAGCTTGATGAGTTGATGTACCATTGGGGGCGGTGGGGTAGCCTAGTGGTTAAAGCGTTAGCTCGTCACGACGAAGACCCGGGTTCAAATCCCCACATGGGTACAATGTGTGAAGCCCATTTCTGGTGTCCCCCGCCGTGATGTTGCTTTAATATTGCTAAAAGCAGCGTGAAACCAAACTCAGTCCATCAGTTAGTGATGTACCATTGTCTGTCAGAGTTATTTCCCTTGACTTACCTTGTGTTATGTGTGCATGGAGCTTGATGAGTTTATGTACCATTGTCTGCAAGAGTTATTTCCCTTGACTTACTATGTGTTCTGTGTGCAGGGAGCGTGATGAGCTGATGGACCACGTGGCCAGCCTGAAGGGCCGACTGTTGGACATGACTCGACGTGAGGAAGACTCCTACGTCCAGATGAAGAAGGGCATCGAGCTGGTGGAGCAGGCTCAACTAGAGCAAACTCAGGTCAGCAGGGAAGTAGTATCTGGGGAGTCTACGCTCAGGTCAGCAGGGAAGTAGTATCTGGGGAGTCTACACTCAGGTCAGCAGGGAAGTAGTATCTGGGGAGTCTACGCTCAGGTCAGCAGGGAAGTAGTATCTGGGGAGTCTACACTCAGGTCAGCAGGGAAGTAGTATCTGGGGAGTCTACACTCAGGTTAGCTGGGAAGTAGTATCTGGGGAGTCTAGACCCAGGTTAGGTGGGAAGTAGTATCTGGGGAGTCTAGACCCAGGGTAGCAGGGAAGTAGTGTCTGGGGAGTCTACACAGGTCAGCAATGAAGTAGTATCTGGGGAGTCTAGATTCAAGTTAGCTGGGTTGCCTCATCTTTGCCATTCATGCAACAGAAATATCCATGGTGCAGTCTATTAGTTGTTGATCAAGCTTGCTGTTGTGTCTGCAATGGAGTCTGTGGTTCACGATCAAGACTCAATGTGTGTGATCAAGATGGGTCAAAGATGAAGTCTGTGGTTCACGATCAAGTCTGTGTATGTGTGTGATCAAGATGGGTCAGAGATGAAGTCTGTGGTTCACGATCAAGTCTGTGTGTCTGTCATCAAGATGGGTCAGAGATGAAGTCTGTGGTTCAGTCTCTGTGAGATGAAGTCTGTGGTGTCATCAAGATGGGTCAGAAGTTTGTGGTTGAAGATTCACGATGAAGTCTCTGGTGTGTCTGTGATCAAGATGGGTCAGAGATGAAGTCTGTGGTTCACGATCAAGTCTGTGTGTGTCTGTGATCAAGATGGGTCAGCGATGAATGCTGTGGTTCACGATCAAGTCTCGTGTGTGTGTGTGATCAAGATGGGTCAGCGATGAAGTCTGTGGTTCACGATCAACTCTTTGTGTGTGTGATCAAGATGGGTCAGCGATGAAGTCTGTGGTTCACGATCAACTCTTTGTGTGTGTGCAGGCGATGGTGGAGCGGGAGCAGTTGGCGGAGGAGCTGGCCAACATGAGGCAGAGGTTCGAGGAGCATGTGATGGACTCGCAGCGCAAGATGGAGATGGAGAGGGACTCGGTCCGGAAGGAGTCACGCTTCCTGGTGGATGACCTCAACAACAAGGTAGAGCAGGCCAGAAACTGTAGTCCAAGTATCCACTTTAACCAGATATGAATAGTGAGGCCCAGGTGTGAGTTTCATCCCTTGGATCCATTAGGTGTATGTTAAATCGTCAGATTCAATGTCAGGGCTCTGTCATGTAATGTTTGTGTCAAGCTACACATTGTCACTATGCAGGAAATCTTGTGACACATCCAGCCAAGGTATCAGGTATGTTGTAAGAGGCTGTAGGATTGCGTCGTGGTTAGCTGGTTGGGGTTCAGTAATAGAAGTGATATGTTGGAAGGTGTAGCATCACAGTGGACGGAGCTGACTTAACGATTTCAACTTTTTCATTCTGTCAGTGAAACATTGACCACTTAGGGGTAAACCATTCTGCGACAGACACAAGGTATTGTAACAGAGTGAGGTGTGGTAAGGGAGCGTGATGGTTAGCTCACTCACTTTGTGTGTTGCCAGCTGAAAGAGGCGACAGAGAAGCTTACAGTCATCGAGACACAGCTGGAGAAGGTCACCCGTGACAAGATGTCCATCATGAACGAGCTCGACGAGACAAAGGCGGAACTGAGGGTGTACAACAAGGAGGTCACTGTGGTCAGTTCCCATCTAACACCTAATTTTTGTTCTATCCTCGAATAAGGCAAATTCCCAAGTGGACTAGAAGGGACATCTAATGTAGATCTGTGATATGCCTCAAAATGCTTTCATTTTCTCCACATGTACAGTGGATTTGCCAGACTGATATTGTGTGAGCTTGAAATGTAACTGGGCAGTTATCTCAGATGTTTTCAATTCTGTAATGGTTGGAAGTTATTATCATATGACAGTAACCCAATTGAGTTTAGAAAATTTTACAGAAGCCAGCGTGTATCGTTTCAAACTGTTTCATATACAGTCAAATCCCGATGAGTCGAATCGGTGGGGACCAAGTAATACATTCGACTTATCGATGTATTCGAGACATAGGTATGTCTATGAGGGTACGAAAAAAGATGATCCAGTCCTAATTTCTCCACCTAAGCATTTGTTTACCTAACGATTTCCCTATCACTAATAGGGGCACCTTATCAGTTCCAGTCTCATTAGCACAGACAGTGATTTCCGTAAAATCACTAATCTGCCTTTTGAACTCACCCGTCAATGGCGGAAAGGTGTGAGCAGCGCTGGTTTGTTAATTGGATCAGTTTGCTACACTAATCAACTTTTCATTGCATGTCTTCGGCTTATGTATACAAGATTACTGTTGTTTGAATCTCATGGGACCAAATTTCCTTCTCGAGTCATCGTGTGTATTTATGAGACGAATTCGTGTAACCGGTATTCAAATGATGACAACTATAACAGGGAATGGTCTGGACCGACAGGTACTTCGAGTTATGCATAATATTCGAGACACCGGCATTCGACTCATCGGGATTTGACTGTAATTGGAAAGGTGTGGTTTGTTCCTTCCCTATTGGAGATACCAGAATATATCTCTCACTGAGAGGAAGCTGACTCAGATTATTTTCTCTTCATCAAAATTTGCTGTTTTGAAGGATGGTTTAATAGCCTGCTGTGTTGTTTAGGCAACAGAGAACTACCGCAGTGAGACGACGAATGCCTCGCTCCAGAGAAGCAGTGCTGTACAGGAATCCCATAAGCTGAGACTGGAACTGGACAGCTTCCGACGAGACAGGGACCAGGTGTGTGAGAACAGTGACATTGTGTGGTGGTTGATGTTTTGCAATATTTTTTCTGAGAACTGATATAGTTTGTGAGTATCTCTATGGTTTATGTTAAATCTACACAGACTTTCACTCACAACTAATGTTTAACTTTGTAATTAACTACCAGCATTGCATTCTTTACATGCCATGAATTATAGAAAGAGAAAATACAATCTCAAACTATCCATCATTATTTTGAGATTGCTCTCATCAGAACCTTTACATCTATTTTTAGGGCCTTAGTATAAACAATATATGATCTGCACTTACAATCAGTGTCTATGTCAAATACCTTAGCTTCCAATATATTGCAAAACAGATTCCTGAATCGCAATATTGCCAGGAGTCAAGAATATGAGGGTTGCTGATAGCTGCCAGACATACACACACCCCACAACCAACACCCAACATCCCACACCCAACACCCAACACCCCTCACCACAGACCCAACACCCTACATCCCATACCCCACACCCCACACCCAACACCCCTCACCACAGACCCAACACCCTCCATCCCACACCCCATACCCAACACCCAACATCCCACACCCAACACCCAACACCCCTCACCACAGACCCAACACCCTACATCCCATACCCCTACACCCAACACACCCCTCACCACAGACCCAACACCCTCCATCCCACACCCCATACCCCAACACCCAACATCCCACACACCCAACATCCCTCACCACAGACCCAACACCCCTCCATCCCACACCACAGACCCAACATCCCACACTACATCCAACACCCAACACCCCTCACCACAGACCCAACACCCTACATCCCATACCCCACACCCAACACCCCTCACCACAGACCCAACACCCTCCATCCCACACCCCATACCTAACACCCAACATCCCACACCCAACACCAACACCCTCACCACAGACCCAACACCCTACCTCCCACACCCTCACACCCACACCCCACACCCTCACCACAGACTCCAACACCCCAACATCCCACACCCACATACCCAACACCCAACACACCCACACACACCCAACATCCCACACATCTAACACCCCACATCCCACACCCAACACCCCACATCCCACACCCAACACCCCACACCACACACCCAACATCCCACACCCCACATACACCCCCCTCACACCATATGCCCAACATCCCACACCACACACCCAACATCCTACACCCCACACACAACACGCCACCCCATCTAGCACTGACAAGCTCCATCATTGTATTATCTACAAATGCTTTCCCCTGTGTGTAAGACTACTACTCTCTGTGTATGACGCTGCAGGAGCGTAGTCGGAGCCAGACCGAGGTGGACGACCTGAGACGGAGGCTGAACACTGCGGAGCGGGAACTGGTCAACAGCAAGGAGGAATGTATCCATCTCACAACAAATGCACAGGCCTTGGAAAGGGAGGTAAGTCCTGTCAGCCGGACAAGCTCCTGACAAGATCCTGACAGGGTTCAGTGCATAGAAATGGATAGGAACTCATGGTTGTCATCTTGTGACTTCAAACCTTTCTATGCCAGCTGTGGATGTGATGTGGATACAGTAGCTTTACACCTTTACCAGGGTAAACTATTTTGGGGAATGTTGTAGATCCTCCATTGCTGTTTCTTTGTGGCCACCACTGAGTCCCAGGTTTTGCCCTTTCAGCTTCATCTTGCCAAACTTGCCCGTGAGAGTATTGAGAGGACTCGAAATGAGGACCTCAAGTCTATCACCAAACAGGCTCAGCAGAGGGAGATTGACCTCAACAATTTCATCTCCAACCTGGAAGACAAGCATTGTGAGTGCTACAAACATCCTCATTATAAATTTCATCGTACAGACACTGTTTTCCTTTCAGCAACACAGGATTTTAATGTGTGAAACCTTTCTATGGTGGTGAAAACGTCTCTAGTTAGCTTGTGATTGTCAAAAGTGTAGGTTAAAGTGAGGATGAGATGTTATCATGTGTTACCTGACTATGATATTACCCAGTTGGATGTTGCCCATGCTGTTAACCCCTGGTTCATGAGATGCTGTGAGACTCACTCACTCACTTACCTTGTGTTTCATATCTAGCTGGTATTGCAAAATTGTTGGAGCTACTTCCACAAAGAAATAATCTTTATATTAACTGGTCTGACATGGTGAGGTTTAGATAGCTCCAGTTTGATGAGTCTGTTTCCCATGCTCTGTAGCCATGACAACACATGAAATGGACACGATGCTGCATAAACAAAACCGTCTCATCATGAAGCTGAGAGATGAGTGTAAGAGGCAGGCTGGGCAGATGGAGAAACTCACCAAGAAATACAGGTACGACTAACTTTCATTCTCACTCATGGGCAGAGTCTATCATATCCAAGTGATATTACAAGTCATGGCTTATTAAGCCATTTTCAACACTAAATGCGACTTAAATGTACCATGTGTACAGAAGATGATGCTTGTGATTTTATGATTATTCATGTCCATTGCTGTAGATCTGAGTTTAGCCACCTGAAGATTGAGAATGAAGAGTTGAAACAGAGGCTGGAGAGATCTGTGTCACGGCTGGAGGTGCTAGATGACCAATCAGATCAACACGTACGTGTACACGACAAGATGAAGGAGAGGCTGAAGATGATGGACAACCATGCTCAACACCAGTCTGCCCAGGTAAGGAACCGGTGCTAGTAGATAGGTCCTGAATAGATAGACCCTAAATATACTGACCAAGGAGAGATAGGTCCTGAATAGATAGATCCTGAAGTCAAAGGTCGAGAAGAGATAAGTCCTGAATAGATAGACTCTAAATATACTGACCAAGAAGAGATAGGTCCTGAATAGATAGATCCTGAAAGCAAAGGTCGAGAAGAGATAAGTCCTGAATACACTGGCTGAGAAGAGATAGGTCCTGAAGAGAAGCATCCTGAATACACTGCCTGAGAAAAGATGGGTCCTGAAGAGATGAATCCTACAGATACTGGCCAAGAAGAGGTAGGTCCTGAAGAGATGAATCCTAAAGATACTAGCCAAGAAGAGGTAGATCCTGAAACAGATGAATCCTAAAGATACTGGCTGAGAAGAGGTAGGTCCTGAAGAGATGAATCCTAAAGATACTAGCCAAGAACAGGTAGGTCCTGAAACAGATGAATCCTACAGATACTGGCGGAGAAGAGGTAGGTCCTGAAGAGATGAATCCTAAAGATACTGGCCGAGAAGAGGTAGGTCCTGAAACAGATGAATCCTAAAGATACTGGCGGAGAAGAGGTAGATCCTGAAACAGAATGAACCTAAAGATACTGGCCGAGAAGAGGTAGATCCTGAAACAGATGAATCCTAAACATACTGGCCGAGAAGGGTAGGTCCTGAAACAGATGAATCCTAAACATACTGGCCGAGAAGAAGTAGGTCCTGAAACAGATGAATCCTAAAGATACTGGCCGAGAAGAGGTAGATCCTGAAACAGATGAATCCTAGAGATACTGGCCGAGAAGAGATAAGTCCTGAAACAAATGGATCCTAAAGATACTGGCCGAGAAGAGGTAGATCCTGAAACAGATGAATCCTAAAGATACTGGCGGAGAAGTGGTAGATCCTGAAACAGATGAATCCTAAAGATACTGGCCGAGAAGAGGTAGATCCTGAAACAGATGGATCCTAAAGATACTGGCATGGAGAAGAGGTAGATCCTGAAACAGATGGATCCTGAAGATACTGGCCGAGAAGAGGTAGATCCTGAAACAGATGAATCCTAAAGATACTGGCGGAGAAGAGGTAGATCCTGAAACAGATGGATCCTGAAGGTGCTGGCCAAGGAGAGATAAGTCCTGAAACAAATGGATCCTAAAGATACTGGCCGAGAAGAGGTAGATCCTGAAACAGATGAATCCTAAAGATACTGGCGGAGAAGAGGTAGATCCTGAAACAGATGAATCCTAAAGATACTGGCCGAGAAGAGGTAGATCCTGAAACAGAGGGATCCTGAAGATACTGGCCGAGAAGAGGTAGATCCTGAAACAGATGAATCCTAAAGATACTGGCGGAGAAGAGGTAGATCCTGAAACAGATGAATCCTGAAGGTGCTGGCCAAGGAGAGATAAGTCCTGAAACAGATGAATCCTAAAGATACTGGCCGAGAAGAGGTAGATCCTGAAACAGAAGGATCCTGAAGATACTGGCCGAGAAGAGGTAGATCCTGAAACAGATGAATCCTGAAGGTGCTGGCCAAGGAGAGATAAACCCTGAAACAGATGAATCCTTAAGATACTGGCCAAGAAGAGGTAGGTCCTGAAACAGATGGATCCTAAAGATACTGGCCAAGAAGAGGTAGGTCCTGAAACAGATGGATCCTACAGATACTGGCGGAGAAGAGGTAGATCCTGAAAGAGAGGGATCCTGAAGATACTGGCCGAGAAGAGGTAGATCCTGAAACAGATGAATCCTAAAGATACTGGCGGAGAAGAGGTAGATCCTGAAACAGAGGGATCCTGAAGATACTGGCCGAGAAGAGGTAGATCCTGAAACAGATGAATCCTGAAGGTGCTGGCCAAGGAGAGATAAACCCTGAAACAGATGAATCCTTAAGATACTGGCCAAGAAGAGGTAGGTCCTGAAACAGATGGATCCTAAAGATACTGGCCAAGAAGAGGTAAGTCCTGAAACAGATGGATCCTACAGATACTGGCCGGAGAAGAGGTAGATCCTGAAAGAGATGGATCCTGAAGGTGCTGGCCAAGGAGAGATAAGTCCTGAAACAGATGGATCCTAAAGATACTGGCGGAGAAGAGGTAGATCCTGAAAGAGAGGGATCCTGAAGGTGCTGGCCAAGGAGATGTGGTTTGGAGAGATGAGCAATCAATCATATTTTAAAATGGTGCCTACATGCTGTGAAGGTCTAAGTTTAGTTGTTTGAATGGCGATTAAATGGCTGAAGACTCCACAACTAAAAAATTATGCTGTTGACATTATTGCTACAGTCACTAGTGGTTACTAGAGTTGTTTGTTCTCAGCACCTTGGTCAGTACACAACCAAAGCTAGAATTCCCTCTCTATCTCCTCCTACCCGGTATCCATTCACTGCTGGATGATGAGTTTACTCAAAGCGAAGTGGAGATGCTACAAGCTTTATAGCCCGTGTTACAGTGTGGGTCAGAGTAGACAACCTCACTCACTCACTCACTCACGCGACACCTACTAGTACTCTCTGCCTTGGTTCCCTTCACCTGCTTCATGGTTCATGTATGGACCATGTTCCATGTGTTATATGTCGAGCTGTTCTTTTTTCTGGTAGATGTATAATGTAGACAGCAGAATATTCATAATTACATTGGGGGGACTGGTACTTCAGTGGAGTTGGACATGTCTTTGTTGTACACACAATTGTATGAAAAACAAAATGTTTGCTCTCTGACTCATCTCGGTGTGTTACGTCACAAGATTCTTTTTTATATATTCCTCCTTGGGGTGCTTATAAGCATTTAAATGTCCATGGAAAGTGAGGTACGAGGTTACGGTCTAGAGTTACCTGCTCTTGGCTGTAGGGGGCCGGAAGGCCCTGTAAGGGTGGTCTCACAAGACAAAACGTAGTTTTTGTTTTGTAAATATTTTTTATTCAAATATTGTTACAACTGTCGTAGGGAGTTTAAATGGACATTTAAATGCTTATAAGTACCCCAAGGAGGAATATATTCAAAGAATCTGAAACCTCTACAGGTCAGTTCGAATTTATAATTCCACTTAATATTGCCGACCCCACAAAGGTACAATGTGTGAAGCCCATTTCTGGTGTCCCCCGTCATGATATTGCTGGAATATTGCTAAAAGCTTCATAAACTCACTCACTCACTCACTAATATTGCCGATGTGGCATTAAATTGTTAATTTGCTCGCTTCTTGTACCTGTTCACTATTTTTCAGATGTTGGAAATCCTCACAAAACTCAGCAGTGTCGTTCGAGATCGTCAGTTACTGGCACGTGAAGTGGACTTCCTGCGTACACAGCTGAGTAGAATTGACCAATCAACCGTCCACAAACTGAGCTCATCAAGCAAGGCGCTAGTTGATGAGATCCTCAACGCTGTCATGAAGGAAGAAAAGACAGGAAAGGGATATCTGAATTTGGATCCAGAAATATATAAAGTAGAACTTACCAACAATATAGACATTGATGATCTAATTTAGTTGAAAGGTACAGAAACTTGATGGAAAAGTTAAAGTCAATATCTGAACAGGAAGACTGGCCTGATGGTTTCCTTTCTAGACAGCGCTTCTCGAACATTGAGCCGACAACCATGATAGATTTAACTGGAATACTGTTTCAAGCAGTACTGATACGCAGCTCTCTCGCTCACTTTTAAGACAGAATATTGGCAAATTATATTAGAAAATGTTTGCCTGTGCTTGTCTCATGAGTAGAGCTGGAATTATATTATCAATTAAGATTGACATGAAGAAAATGCTTTTCCATGTTATGTCGGTTTCTCCGCATAGACTTCGCTCTATGGATGGTTCTAATATAGAATGTTTGATGTTAAGCACTGTAAGTGAAGGTGTGCATTTTACCTATCCTACTGTGATACTGTCTATCATGTAGTGTATGTGAATAATTCAGAATAATTCTGCCTTTATTCAGCCATACTATCTGAATACCTGAACTGTGCTCTAGTACAACCAGTGACATATATGAGATTGCAGTTTGCAGAGTTGTGTCCCTTGGGTTTGCCAGAAACCAATGATTGTGGTTTGTAATCCTGGTCCGTTTGTAGGTATGTCAGAATCATACCCATGTGCATAAAATTCTTCAAAGGGGTTGACATCTGCAACCTGCTGTACTACTGGCTTGCCTCCCACATTAAACAGACCTGGAGTACCGTTCAAAGGGACATTCCATTTAACACACTCACTGACTCTGAGCTGACAGGTTCTGTATGTGTAGGCCCACAAAGTCATTCGGTGTTAATAAGTTGTTCAGTGAATATTACAGTACTTACAATCACCTGAATGCGAGTCTGGGAGCTGCAGGTTTAACACTGCGATGCGTGTATTCAACCAGTGTCCTTAGCTTTGTGTCTACATGCAAGCTCTGCTAACTAGGAACTGGGTACATCTGGAACCACTGTGAGTGTCAGGGCTCCAGATAACTTTTGAGTGGGGGCTCCAGATAACTTTTGGGGGTGTGAGTGTACTTACACATCATATTGCAAGTGGAGGTGTACTGAGAATTTTGAAGGAGTACTGACATGTTTTTGTGTGAGCGAGTTGATGTGGTTTGTCTGGACGATTCATCGATCACTATTTCCAACCATGTATTTGTATTTGAAGACGCGTGAGAAATAACTGAGCGACTGTGTGATGCGCGAAATGTCAGGTCCGACTGGATATAAATAGGAACAGTGTAGTTTTTAGCCAATCGAAAAATAGTGACGCATATCGTTGCATGGCAACGCAAGGGATTCCTACTGTCGGGGTTTCCTTATGTGTCAAATCGTGTTTCGCAAAAGAAACTTTAACAAGTATTTATCCGAAATAGATTTCCATTTGCACGATACGCACGGAAATTAAATGCTAGACGTACGAAGGTATTTATGTGCGTACACGATACGCTTGAAATCTTATATTATGTCGTACTTAATTGATTTTGAGGCGTACATTACGCCTGTACGCCCCTTATCTGTAGCCCTGAATTCACGTTGAAGCAACAAAATTGATGGATTAGGTTACCGCATCTTCCCTCAATTGCGAGAATCTATAGCAATGATGTTAATCACCGTATTGAATACTCAATTAATTACAGACCGTGCCATTATAGCTGGGCTATTGCTGAATGCGGTCGTATGCAGTTCAGTCGCTGTCAGGCACCAATGGTACAGAGCGGTCTTAGCGCTACGGTGACCGTAACTCCCATACCTGAACATAGACTTACAGCTGTCTTAGCGCTAAGGTGACCGTAACTCCCCGTAACGTAAACTTACGACTGTCTTAGCGCTACGGTGACCATAACTCCCATACCTTAACACAGACTTACAGCTGTCTTAGCGCTAAGGTGACCGTAACTCCCCGTAACGTAAACTTACGACTGTCTTAGCGCTACAGTGACCATAACTCCCATACCTTAACATAGACTTACAACTGTCTTAGCGCTAAGGTGACCGTAACTTCCCTTAACGTAAACTTACCACTGTCTTAGCGCTGAGGTGACCGTGCGTAACTCCCATACCTTAACATAGACTCACAACTGTTTTAGCGCTAAGGTGATCGTAACTCCCATACTTTAACATAGACTTACGACTTTCTTAGGGCTACGGTGACCGTAACTCCCATACTTTAACATAGACTTACGACTGTCTTAGGGCTACGGTGACTGTAACTCCCGTACCTTGACTTACGACAGTCTCCGCGCAGTGGTAGTTTTTTAAAGCTTCATCATGTACGTATTATATAATAGTATGTGTTTTATACTATTTGTGACTGAAATTCACAGTCAGGGTCGAGAAACCGGGTTTCCGGATAAAACAATCAATGACATAAATACTATTTCATTTATTATAACACTATCAGGTGGGCGAGCTTCCGGTTGGCTAAGGGCCGGATAGGCGGGGTTTCGGTTGAAATGACTAACTACGGTTTACACATGGGAAGAAAAAACCCTTCCAGGTTTACACATACGAGAAGATAACCTTCACTTAAAATACCACCGAAAATGACAAGGCATCCACCTGTGAAATCTTCACCTAATCATCGACGAGTATTTGTATATACAAATCATCAGCACAACAGTGAATACTAACGATGGCGAAGTCTTCAGTATTTTCCTTCACAAACGCGATCTTAGCGCTAAGATGACCGTAACTCCCATACCATAACATAGACATAAGGTAGTTCTAGCGCTCAGGCTGTTTTGTATAACGGCACCCATCAATTTCGTGCTCAGCTCTCAGTTTATGCAGGGAGACTCTATAAGTTGTTGTAGAGTATCCCTGGTTTATGTAACTGTCTACTCGCGCTGGTTTAGATATATGTACAAGCACTGCTTATGTTCCTAATATGGTACTTAGCTCAAGACACACATCCCTCCAGTACAGTGTTCGTCCGGTTCATCACACTCTTGACTTTATGAAACCACAGCATAAAACTGCAGTCCCAGACTTCAAGTGTATGAATAAATCTGTATAAAGTGCAGCATACTGTATCTCACGTGCAGTATGCAGTGTGTCACGTGTAGTGTAGGATACAGTATTTTACACCTTGTACACTGCATGTGATATTGAACTCCAATCTGGCCATCGATAAGTATACCAAGGACGTGAGTCCCAAAAAATAATTTGACAGTAACGTCTCTGGAAGAGAAATCTTCAAATAATAAACGATCCACCTTCAAAAGTCAAAGTCAAGAAAAGCATTAGGTATCATTAAAACCTCTGCACCGATTGCCTATCGACTGTTATCTTGAAGTTCAGACCAAGTCCAAGGCCACGCAAGAACAGTCACTAGAAGTGCAACCTCGGATGCTGGAACCAAACAATGGTAAATGGTTCAGTAAAAGCTCCATCTGCGTGGAATCGTCTACCACACCTGCTCCAACATACCTCTCTAGCAGCATTAAAACTATCTCTCAATCAGCATACCCCATGTCTGGAAATTGAGTGACGTCATGGTGCCGTTGTACAAAGCGATCTTAGCGCTAAGGTGACCGTAACATCCATACTTTAACACACTTAAGGTAGCCTTAGCGCTAAGGTTGTTTTGAACAACAGCACCCTGGCCAGTACATGGTGTATTGCACGTCTATGTACATGGTATTGCCTGAGTCAACATATCTAGGATACATGTGAGTGGGTGAGTGAGAATGTTTAGACGCTTTTTGCAATATTCCTGCAATAAGACACCAGAAATGGGTATCCCTTTTGGGAACTGAACCCGTATCTTTGGAGTGACAAGCATATGTTTGAGCAACTTGGCTACCCCATCAGATGCCTTAAGACACTTCTCGGAAGTCAAAGAACACCAGATTCTTTCATATCCCTGTAGTCAACCTGTCAGGGCTGACCGGTGACCGTAGCTACACACAACGTTGAGGATGTTCTTCAACTTATTTGAGTGGTATATTTTTACTTCTTTATGCACAGGAAACTGATAATGACACTTAAGAAACATTTACAGATTTATTTCAAAGATTACATGTACAGGAACATGTTGGACGGAGTTTTACATTGTTTGGTAAGTGTGTACATCACAGTCATAAACACCACAGTCATGGCTAGCGATGTAACTTGTAAGTTTAAACACATGGATCATTGAGATAACATCAGGCACAACATAACGCCATTCTCAATGTGCCTGTCATAGAGTGAGTATGATTTTACGCCGCTTTGACAATATTACCGCGGCGGTGTTCCCCAGAAATGACCCAGCACTCCATGTACCCGTCTAGTGAGTGAGTATGATTTTACGCCGCTTTGACAATATTACCGCAGCAGTGTTTCCCAGAAATGACCCAGCACTCCATGTGCCCGTCCAGTGAGTGAGTATGAATTTACGCCGCCTAAGCAATATTCCTACTGCGGTGGTCCTCAGATATGACCAAGCCGAAATGTCTGGAATCCAATTCGAGCTGACGTTTTAACCTCAAGACTACTCCTCCCCCCCAAGTGTCTGTCTAGACGCTGGAACTGGTACAGTGTTGATACAATCATTGTGTTTGTGTCAGTGTAATATGGGTAGACTGGAACATCGGAGAAACTGAGCTGGACAAATGAAGTGGAATTGAAATGACTGCTAAGAATGACAACTGACCCGATTGATAACTCACTGAAATGTTTCCGGAACAATAGCATGACTTGTTTGGCTTACAGTACGCCAATAACCGTTACCATGACAATTGTAGAAAATATTTAGAAAAACAATTAAAGAAATTGTGTATCTTTTCAACATTCATATATCAATCGACGTGTTGATTGTTTTTTCGGACAATTTTGCAGAAAGCATAAAATCTTCAGGAAATATAAAGCCATTCCTAATTCACTTTTATCGTTACTGATATACTTTTTGTTCAATATCCTGTCCTTTTCAACCGTATTACAAGTATTTCGCATCACACAATGATGGCGAGGTCTTAACATAGGTCTACAACATGACACATTGTACATCAATGAATAAAATCAACATACAAGCAATAAGGACAAGAGACTTGTTGAAGCGTTTTTGTAAAATCATGATCAAAAGTGAACAGCGATATTCACCACTGTATCGCCAACAAAAAGGCTAAATAGAAGTCGAAGTGTAATAATACACTATAAGTATAATGTTTGCAATATGATCTTGAAATACTTTGAAACATAAAGAAAATTTAAATGTGGTCGTCAAACTAGACAATCGTCTTAAAGGACTGAATTGAAAATGTATGTTCCCCGAAATAAATATGGTACACGTGTAACAGTGTGACCGCATCAGCTACAACACGAATAATTAGACATGTTGTCACCGTTCTACATGGCTGTACAGGTGTAGTCAGTCCTCGATGCGCCCCCGACTCCCTTCGCCTCGCAAGCCGGCCCGTCCCACGTCATTGCGAACCCGGAAGTTGCGCATGAAGCGGATCCGGATTTGAGACACGACAGCGCGCATTGGAACGCTGCTTGTTGCTTGGCGTCTGGTATTGGGTCCGGGATGGAACCTGGACCGTCTCCCTTGCATATAACACCCCTAGTCTCGGCGGAGAAAGTCACCGTTATCACTGAAACAGTAGAATCGAATCATTTCTTAAGTGCATGACTAACGATATGTGTTTGCTCCCATATAGTACCATGTACCCGTTCAACATGTATACCCCGTTCCCACCCCCACCCCCACCCCAACACAGGTCGATACATACGTTCAATCATCTTGAACCCGATGTTTAAACCATTTCCATCTAACCAACTCCACATATGTCGTCAATAGTCATTAAGTTCGATTTCAGCAATACCGTGTTTCCTAAACTACACTCCAACATCTACCTGTCCATTAATCCCAAATATTGATCAAAACATTCATCAGTGCTTCATGAAGGCTTTCCTATTGCGCTTGCTCTCAGTGTGTTTGAAGATTAACCCTGGCATTAGCAGAAGTATAACCCTTCTGACATTCGACTCCACACAAAACCCTTGTCGCCATCAGCTCTGCGTGCCTTGACTGTAATCTCAGAAGCCAAGTAACCTCACTACGACGTCCTCAAAGTCACTGACATATAACGGTAGATATCTTACAATTGTTACTACTTCGGAGATAAACATACTGTGTTGGAAAATACTACCGAACGCGTAGCGTGAGGTTTTAAATAAAACCATTAGTGCTATTATAATTTCGTTATATACTTCTGATTTCCCACCACAGTGCGTTTATCTCCATTCTACCATAACCGCGTTATTAAGATTTACAAAAAATATATTGTGTTGGAAAATCAGAGGTACATAACGTGATTATATACCTGTGAATGACTTTGATTAACCAATCACAATCCTGTATTTACTGAAGTCATGGTAGAATTCTAGGTTATAATCGCTGTCATTTTCGTTTTATGCCTGCATTTTAAAACTTTGTACTGAAATATGTTTTACAAAAATGATATACCTGTACATAAATCTTTGATGCTACGTATTGCGTTACCATGGTAATCACGGTATAGTATTGCAAGTGTTATACATATATATAATGCCAAATCCTAAAATGCCCCCAAATGTTTCACAACAGTAGAGATAATGATCGATATTCGCCAAAACCAGAGCGGAAGTGCCATACGTATGGTGGCTGATTAGTAATCGTCTCGCGGTATCGCTTTCTCGTCTCGTGATATCGCTTTCTCGCCTCCAAATTTTAATGCGAGAAAGCGATGGCCCTAATCAGCCATCATAGTATTACCATACTAATCAGCCACCATAATCAGACATCACCTAAAATAGTCACACACGACGCGTGTATCGAGTATCCGAAACACTCCGTGTTGAAACCTTTAAGTATCAACTCCACTTCTCCATATGTCGTTAACGACGCATATCAAGTATCATCGGAGCCGACACTTTGCATTATAAATGTTTGTAACATGGCGTTTCCTTCCGAGTGAGTGAGTTTAGTTTTACGCCGCACTCAGCAATATTCCAGCTATATGGCGGCGGTCTGTAAATAATCGAGTCTACCCGATTCTTTCATATTATTGTTAACTATAGGGATGACAGATTTGCTGTAGAATTCTTCCTTGTTTGTGTACAGTATAGTGTTATATACGTTACTAACAGGATCGGGGGACGATGGGGTAGCCTAGCGGTTAAAGCGTTCACTCGTCACGCCGTATACCCTGGTTCGATTCCCAAGGGTACAATGTGTGAAGCCCATTTCTGGTGTCCCACGCCGTGATATTGCTGGAATATTGCTAAAAGCGGCGTAAAACCATACTCACTCACTCACTAACAGGACCGGCTCTAACGGGGTCTGGAACAGCAAGGTTTGACAGTATCATACACACACACATGCGAATCTAGAGGGGGTCCGCATCCCTTTTGCAGACCCTTATCTACTGGGTCACGGAAACCCAGAAGAAAGTTGTACAGAGGTCAGTTCTTAATGTTGCGTTCGTGCGAAGCATTACATGGATTCACAATCCGATTCACTCTCGCTATCACTCTCTACACCCTGTTGCTGCTGCTACTCGCTGCCTAAAAGCCCGAATGGGAAGCATTAAACCATCTGTAGCTTCTTTTCAGAAGAAAGTTAGGACATTGCTGGCGATATCTCGACACTGAGATGTCAAATGGAGACCTTGTATCGGCTGTTCGGACATGTTGACAATCAACTGACAAAGGTGCACCTCTTCACAATAATAGACCCAACCAGTTGTGACACGGTCACGCAATGCATTAGTATTCACTTGATCAGGTCAAGCTGAACAAGCTGTAGGGCACATGTGACTGTTCCCACCGACAATACCCCAGTCGATATTCACACCGACCAATATTCCCGACTGACTATTCACACCAATCGATTTCCCATTATCAATATTAAGTTTCCTCTACAACAATTCCCACCAGCTATCCCTCTACATGTTGGTTGCCCTGGAACTGTGCACACCTGCAGTCTGAGAAGGGTTATGTTCATGCGTCCCCCTCCCCAAATTCAATACTTAATAGCTGCAAAATTTCTGATGCGGCTAAAAGAAACTTTCACTCACTCATGTGTTACTAAGATGTTTCTTAATGTTCACATGTACAATTGATAGCACTAAGTGATAGAGTGGCTTTAATATCACTAAAATGTACACACAAAAAACAAAACAAAACAAAACAATTCTTCAAATATACATAAGGGACCATCTGCAACGTACAACTGTGCAGGTGAAAAGAACAGCATTGTTCAGTGAAGAACAGCATTGTTCAGTAACCAATGGAGGATAATCATGTTTACGAACGTCACCAAGAAATAATCTCTCTCGAGATGCTGATCTAAATAAGAACAGTCCGAAACTACGCAGAAACTGTGATACGATTTGTTGTTATTCCACTCACGACAGTGCACACATCGTACACTATCTGTCTTAGTCAATAGTCTGGGACGTCCATGTCCCCCACGAAGCAGTTAGTTGCGGCATCTATATAAAGGCTGGACGCTACCCCATGCATCTTGAACAGGATGCTTGTCTTAATAGGTACAAATGCATCAAAATCAACAAAACTAAATTACTCTAGTATTAAAAACACTCAAGTGCAATTATTTACTATTTTTCTAAGATACGCACAAATACACGTGCGTGCACCCACTGACAGGCTCACAATAAGAACACGTTTTAAACGTTCAATACTTGATATTAGTGTAAGGTTATTGTTCATATTTGCATTTGTAGGGGTTTCCCATATCTGCAAATTAATTGTGATCTTTTCCTACTGGACTGGAAAAATACCATTATAATTATTCTACTTGGAATCTATACACTTAATTCGGATTTGTGAAAAAACAATTCCAAATATTAACAGAACATTACCAGGCTGGAACAAATCGCCCAAACGCTGCAAACGTTGGGTCTAAACCACAGACATGATACCATCACCATAAATTAACAGTTTTGTTGGTTTCATTCATAGCCGCTTTTAAATGTATATTTTTATGACCGTGAGTTTATTCATATTCCTTCAAAAAGAAAATCTCTTAATTATTTCACTATGCACTCTGTAGAAACACTTCAGTATAAATCTGACATATGTTAAACCGGGAATGTCTGTTCCCCGACTGCCGCATTGACAGCGAGAGGGACACTATACCGTGAAGGTGAGCTACAGACCATTTAGATCATAAGAACTCAACCAGGCAACACCACACACTGCAACTTTCACAAAATTCAATCATTCACCAATAGGAATGTTGATAAACTTCAACCCAGGTATATCTTTTTGATCCTTTCGAATCGAAAATTTTACATATACTCTCCCCAAAAGAAACGCATTTATCACTTTGATGTGAAATTTCAAATATTTTTCGCCATTATAATGCTGGTTTGTGTACATAGAAAGAATACACAGCGCCAAAACGCATCTTCGGAAACGTTTACATTCGAAAGCGTCAACTTGCATGGAAATGTCATGGAGAAAAAGCAGTTCGCAATATGCACGTGCAGTTCTGAGGAATCGTGAGAAGGGGAATTGCCTATATAGGCCATTTGCTTTTCGATGTTATTGGTATTTTTTCAGCTAAGGGACCGTTGGTAATTTATATATAGTTAGGGGTGTGATGGTGGTTTTAAAGGGGAAGGGTGTGTGTGTGTTTGTCGTCAGTTTAGTACACACGTACAATCAAAGGGAAGTGTGTGTGTGTGGGGGCAATTTTGTATATGAAAATATTTAAAAATCCTGCTGAACAATTATCGGAATTGGGCTTTGTACATAAAATTTAGGGGTTTGTGTGATCCACACTGCACATGCTTCTCCATTAAGATCAACACACACACACACACACACACACACACACGAGAGAGAGAGGGGGGGGGGAGAGGATAGGTACATCCGGGTACTTCATCCACTGTCACAGCAACTGCAAGTGCAATGGCTGATAAGAGAAGAGTGTTTTCGCAAACCATTCGTATTCGTAACAAGGAGCCGGACCCTATTTTGGCTATATCGACGTCGACGGGTCCAGTGGTGCAATAACGTTCGATTCTGGAATCTACAACACTGGCGACGTGTGTGGTCAAGTGACGAATCACACTTTCTGATTCAATGCCGTGATTCCAGAGTATGTGTCTAATCGACGTCGAAATGAACGTTTTCCCAAAGTTGTGTCGTCCAGGTCGACCCATATGGTGTAGGAGGTGTCACGATGTGGGGAATCATATCCTACACACAGAAATCTAACTATGGCCGCCTTCAGGGCAATTTAACTGCTACTCGGTACATAGACGAAATCTTAAACATGGTTCCGATCATTGACCGCCAGAGGGAGTTGTTCCGGCAAGATAACGGCATGATAACAGCACATGTCACTATTCAGCATCTTCGGAACATTACAGTCCTTCTCTATGGCCTTTCAAATCGCCTGTCCTCAACTCCATCGAGCATTTGTGTCATGACTTCAGCCGACGCTTATGTGAACGGCAACCTGCGCCCCATACTGTCGCAGATATTGCAAGAGGAATGGGTCAGAATTCATAAAGGCCGAATTCAAAGATTTCTTCAGTCCATGCCGAGACGGTGCAGGGCAGTTTTGGAGAGTTCTTGGTGGCCACAAGAGACACTGAAGACAACGCCCAACGGGGAACGGACGCCTTCACTTATTGAACGTTTTATACGCTGTACAAGTTAACAGACATGTGATCTTTTATACTGTGAAATTTGATTGCAACTGATCCAGAATTACAGCTTGTTCAGCTTGACCTGAGCTACTCTACATATGCATGACCCGGGAGGTCAAATGGCACAAACGACAGGACGAGTTAACTTCATTAAATAGGGGACAGAGAATGTTATTAATGTTGCGTTCGTGCGAAGCATGCAGATATGGATTCGTTATGTACAGAAACTGTCCCGGAAAACAACACTTCTGAAAAAACAATCATTTCATGTTTTAACTGAATTGTCTATACAGCCATATGCTATCTATTTTGGTTTGACAACTTTACAAAGTACAGACGTCAGTTACTTTCACAATCCGATTCACTCTCGCTATCACTCTTTACACCCGGCACAATTATCACTTTTTCTATTTCATGTTCAACTGCAATATTTCTGTCCCAGTAGTTAGGACCTTGCTGACGATTTCTCGACACTGAGATGTCAAACGGCGACCTGGTCTCGACTACTTGGACATGTTGACAATCAACTGACAAAGGTACACCCCTTCAGAATAATAGACCCAACCAGTTGTGACACGGTCACGCAATACATTATAGTCTGTTTGCAGTGAAAACGTACCAATAAATTTCACTTTAAACAAAAAAGTAAATCAAATAAAATGAAATTAAGATTGCGAATCCTCATAATTTTACCTTGCCAAATGAACATTTAAATCTCAAAATTTTATTCAAATTAAGATAAAAGTTGTTTAACAAACGATCATAGATTCAAATCGCTATTACTGGTTTTTTGATGTGCATACCCCCTGTAATACAAAACCAATAATTGCCATGCGAGACTATGATCGTTTGTTAAACAACTTTATCCTAAGTCGAATAAAATTCTGAAATTTAAATGTTCAATTGGCAAGGTAAAATCATGAGGATTCGTAGTCTTAATTTCACTTTATTTGCTTTACCTTTTGGTTTAAACAGACATTATTCGGTACGTTTTCACTGCAAACAGACTATAGTATTCAGTTGATCGGGTCAAGCTGAACAAGCTGTCAATGTGTTATCTCACTTAATACATCCATACGTTTCCGTATATGACAACGATGTTCCATTACAGTGTTAAGCCCACACAGGCGAACCATGCACGTGAACAAGCACAGGCGTACAGGAGACACAGGCGAAAAGGACATAGACACATAGGATAACAGAAAACACGCGTATAGTCACACAAACACCCAGTTGGTCAGTGAAACAGGTGCAGAATCTCACAGGCGTACAGTGACAGGCGCAGAATCTCACAGGCGTACAGTGACAGGCGCAGAATCTCACAGGCGTACAGTGAAACAGATGCAGAATAACACAGTCGTGCAGACACAGGTGCAGAATCACACAGGCGGACATACACAGGTGAAGAATCACACAGGCGTCCATACACAGGTGCAGAATCACACAGGCGTACATACACAGGTGCAGAATCACACAGGCGTACATACACAGGTGCAGAATCACACAGGCGTACATACACAGGTGCAGAATCACACAGGCGTACATACACAGGTGCAGAATCACACAGGCGTACATACACAGGTGCAGAATCACACAGGCGTACATACACAGGTGCGTACACACAGGCGTACATACACAGGTGCAGAATCACACAGGCGTACATACACAGGTGAAGAATCACACAGGCGTACAGACACAGGTGCAGAATCACACAGGCGTTCAGTTAAGACAGGCGCAGAATCACACAGGCGTACATACACAGGTGCAGAATCACACAGGCGTACATACACAGGTGCAGAATCACACAGGCGTACATACACAGGCGCAGAATCACACAGGCGTACATACACAGGTGCAGAATCACACAGGCGTACATACACAGGTGCAGAATCACACAGGCGTACATACACAGGTGCAGAATCACACAGGCGTACAGACACAGGCGCAGAATCACACAGGCGTACAGTAACACACGCAACAGGAACATAGTCGCACAGGCAAACAGAAGCACATGTGTAAAGGAGCACAGTTAGATGAGTAACATAGAAATACAGGTTGAACCCGTTTAGTTGCAGAGCGAGCCGGGAACGTCGCCTCTATGACAAATGGTTTGTTGATGTCCGCGATGTTCGTGATGCTGATCGATGAAATCCACGTGGGTGGAGTCACCAGCCATACGGAAAAAGTGAGATTAATCCGCCATTCAACCCCCCACGCCCAGCGGACCCTGGTAGTCTCCTTGGGCGTCCAACCTATAATAGCTCTTATTCCCAGGACACTGCGGATGTGTCGTCATGGCAACACATTGGAATGGTCCTTCCTGCAACCGCAGCGGTTCAGGCTGGACACAGTCTGCCAGTTCCTTACTCGGAAGCTGCGTTAATTGTAACAAACTAAAGGACCTTTTCACAATTCTGATTGCTTATAAATGTTTTATGATTTGTTTGTTTCTTGTTAGACGCGGTGCTCAGCAATATTCCAGCTATATGATGACTATATCATAATCGAGTCTGGACCAGACAATCCTGTGACTGACATCATGAACAAAGATAAATATTGCTTTAAGCAGCATTGAAGCTATTCACGACTAAATGAGCAACGGTCTAGGCAATTTGGATACAAGGACATCGACCAAGTCGGTGAGTCTGACCGCCCAATTAGGTTAGTCGACTATTTCGACAAGCATGCGGACCAAGACCAATGGTATCCGTTTTAAGAATGACATGTAGAAAACAACCAAGCAAAAGAATAGTGTGTTTTAAAAAAAAAAAATCCAGTCGAAGGATAACTTACAGTTGTCGATTCAGTTACCAACTCTGACAGATAGTCTACAATTAAATTATTGTTATTAATTTTTACTACTCCTCAAATACGTTTAAGACCATCCTAGATCTTCACTACTGATTGTGCATCTCCTTGATATTCTATTGGTTACTAATACGGATAGACTACAGCAGGATCAAGTCGGGGGTGAGGAATAGAAAGACCGGTGAAATACGACGACCATACCGAGTGACTATCACTAAAATAATGTTTTATCATAGAAGACATTAACCTATAAGACTGTGGACGGTTCTCTTCTCAAGGAATGTTTTTAATATTTATATATATATATATGCTTTTATACGTCTCTCACAGTTCAGTAAAGAGTACCTAATTACAATTCTAACTGTAACCTCCTTAGCCTTAAGATTAGAAGGGCGGCGGGGTTGCCGAGTGGTTACGCTCATCTCGCCGAAGGCCCCGGGTTCGATTTCCCGCATGGGTACCCATTCTTGATGTGTCCCGCCGTGATTTTGCTCCAGAGTCGCTAAAACCTGCGTGAAACAATACCTAATAACTTACTTCAAAGATCCGACATTCATTCGTGGATACGTATTCAGTTTTGTTTAATATTTCATATCTGTATAAATAATGAGTCTCGGGGGTCTCTGATAGTATCTGGGACATGTGAATTAGTGCATTAAAACACCCATTTGAGTTTTGTGGACACATAACATGAATATATCTCCTAAATTGAATGCCGTGAAAAATGCGGTATTTAACTCACCCATTGCGACAATCAAAACGATTTCCAACGAAGTAATTCCCTTCATTTTCTATTTCTGTATCTTCTGAGTCTCACAAAAATCTATACCTTTACAAAAGGCTATGAAGAACGCAGTTTTCTCTATCGTCTGCTCCAGGCCATGTCCAGGCAACAAGTGACGTGCTTAGGTAAAACGAGGCGCACAACAAACAGAAAATCAATGGCTGGCTCAGGATGAGCTACATTGTGAATGTAGTAGTCTCTTGTCTAATGTTTTCACCTAGCCATGGCAATTGGGGGACAATGATCATAAATTTATCAGAGTACTGACACCATTTTGAATGACGACAACAGGCGTCGCTGCCATTGATGTTTTAGATGTTGACCAGTCCGTGCGCCGAGGCACCAGCATGTCCTACATAGTCTGTCTCACAGTCCCCGAACCACATTATTTTCCCTACTGCCTAGCCCTCTCTGCAGTGCTAAAGCCCTAAATAAAACAGGTTCTGAATCTTTGGTCTCCCTGGGGCTCCTTTTTAATTTAAATGGGCTTGTTTGTTACTATCAAACTGATATATATTCAGAGACTAAGCGTTTGTCTAGTCCTGGCAAAACGTCCACACATCACTTGGCCACAGCACTTGTTGATGCCATGGGAACAGGGCCTTCATATGCTATAAATACACATATTGGATATGTTGTGAAGTCCGGCGTCTTTCCCTGAACAAGCAACTCTTCTTCAAAATTTGTGATATACAATGCTCAAGTATGTGATGTACAATGTCCTAAAATCTGTGATATACAATGCCCAAGTATATGATGTACAGTGTCCCATGTCAGTGATGTACAATGTCCCAAAATCTGTGATATACAATGCCCAAGTATGTGATGTACAGTGTCCCATGTCAGTGATGTACAATGTCCCAAAATCTGTGATATACAATGCCCAAGTATGTGATGTACAGTGTCAGTGATGTACAATGTCCCAAAATCCAATGTCCAGTGATGTACAATGTCCCAAAATCTGTGATATACAATGCCCAAGTATGTGATGTACAGTGTCCCATGTCAGTGATGTACAATGTCCCAAAATCTGTGATATACAATGCCCAAGTATATGATGTACAGTGTCCCATGTCAGTGATGTACAATGTCCCAAAATCTGTGATATACAATGCCCAAGTGATGTACAATGTCCCAAAATGTACATATGTCCCATGTCAGTGATGTGATATAATGTCCCAAAATCTGTGATATACAATGTCCAAGTATGTGATGTACAGTGTCCCATGTCAGTGATGTACAATGTCCCAAAATCTGTGATATACAATGTCCAAGTATGTGATGTACAGTGTCCCATGTCAGTGATGTACAATGTCCCAAAATCTGTGATATACAATGTCCAAGTATGTGATGTACAGTATATCATGTCGTCCCATGTCAGTGATGTACAATGTCCCAAAATCTGTGATATACAATGTCCAAGTATGTGATGTACAGTGTCCCATGTCAGTGATGTACAATGTCCCAAAATCTGTGATATACAATGTCCAAGTATGTGATGTACAGTGTCCCATGTCAGTGATGTACAATGTCCCAAAATCTGTGATATACAATGTCCAAGTATGTGATGTACAGTGTCCCATGTCAGTGATGTAACAGTGCTTCATATAAAGACGTAAAGACATGTCAATGTTACGTTGTTTAAAATAACATTATATTTAGACGTTCTTCTGAACAACTCGGTATAAAATGTCAACATCGGGTGTGACTAGCACTTACGTTGACACAATCGAGGTAGCGGTGGTGCATTGAACACGCTACCCGTGAAGGTCTGGGTTAGAATGAACCTTCAGTAACCCATGCTTGTCGTAAGAGGCGACTAAAGGGATCGGGTGGTCAGGCTCGCTGGCTTGGTTGACACATGTAATCTGTTCCCAATTGCGCAGGTCGATGCTCATGCTGTTAATCACTGGATTGTCTGGTCCAGACTCGATTATTTACAAACCGCCGCCATATAGCTGGAATATTGCCGAGTGCGGCATAAAACTAAACTCGCTCACTATATGTATGTATGTCCACTGTGTATATCTGTCTACTGTGTAGACAGTGTGTATGTGCGTCTACTGTGTGTATGTGCGTCTACTATATGTAGTTAGATCAGGGGCGGTGGGGTAGCCTAGTGGTTAAAGCGTTGGCTCGTCACGCCGAAGACCCGGGTTCGATTCCCCACATGGGCACAATGTGTTAAGCCCATTTCTGGTGTCCCCCGCCGTGATATTGCTGGAATATTGCTAAAAGCGGCGTAAAACTAAACTCAGTCAGTCAGTCAGTCAGTTAGATCAGGGGGGCGGTGGGTTAGCCTAGTGGTTAAAGCGTTGGCTCGTCACGCCGAAGACCCGTGTTCGAATCTCCACATGGGTACAATGTGCGAGGCCCATTTCTGGTGTCCCCCCGCCGTGATATTGCTGGAATATTGCTAAAAGCGGCGTAAAACCAAACTCAGTCAGTCAGTCAGTTAGATCAGTGATACCTCTGCTACATGCTGTGTTCACGGTTAGTTGATGTCTTCAACATGTATCACAATGCATACATCAGAGTGGACATAATGAAAACAAACATGCCTTGTGAAACAGCCAGTGCAGTACAAACACTTTCCTACAAAACTCGTAAAAGGTTGGAGCGCCACACTGACGTAATTCCAGAAAATCAATAGGATTGTCTTGAACAGCTCGTGGCATCCCACATCCTATGAACGACTCATTGTGTTACGTCTTGGAACATCGAACACAAGTACTCATCCGTACAGTTTGATGTCTTCCCTCTCGAATGATAACACCGACTTAGATGTATTGTCCTTTATCGATTCTCCGAGTATCAAAGTCTACCTCAGTGTCATCCTGAACTCCATCATCACAGGGATCAAACGACGTTGCATGAATGATAAATTACGTTTCATTACCTCTGATTGGTGTCTTCATCATACGGGTTCTTTTTGTTGTGATTTTTTTGTGGTATTTCTGGCTGTTTTTTTTATCTCGACGTATGTTAGATGCATCATTGCTTGGCAATACCCAAAGTATAAAGACTATATTAATTGGCAGTGTATAAATCGAGAGAATCAACACAAACTTGTTCGGGACAACTTCTAAGAACATATCAGGTTGTATTTGAATTTGATGACTGACTGACTGACTGAGTTTGGTTTTACGCCGCTTTTAGCAATATTCCAGCAATATCACGGCGGGGGACACCAGAAATGGGCTTCACACATTGTACCCATGTGGGGATTCAAACCCGGGTCTTCGGCGTGACGAGCCAACGCTTTAACCATTAGGCTAGCCCACCGCCCCTGAATTGGATGAAGTGCTACTGGATGCTTTTGTCCCTTCCGAGCATGTTCGAGTGTATGAAGATTAGCGATTGACTGATGAGCCATAATATTATTTCAAAATAAATATGGCGCTTCTACACGCAGATAGGGAATGGTTGGTGAGTAAGAGAGTGAGTGGCTTTAGTTTTACGCTGCTTTGATGAATATTCCAGCAATATCGTAGGATACCAGAAATGGGCTTCACACTTTGTACCCATGTGGGAATCGAACTCAATCTTCGGCGTGACGAACGAACGCTTTAACTACTTGGCTGCCCCACCGCCCCAGACAGCGAATGGGACTCACGGGAAGCGCTGCGCACCGAGGACTTGTCGGAGAACGTAAAGACTACCCAGAATGCCCCCGCATTGCTCCGTGTGGTACGACTGTGGTGTGGGACGACTTGGCACTTGGGATGCCAGAATGACATTACGTAACCGAGGTCCGCATATTTTCCATGTTTTCATTAATCTTGTCAAGCACATTTCTGTCAAAAGGGACAGATAAATCAATGATATAAATGATTTCAGTGGATTTATATAAAACAACGAAGTCAGATTTGTTGGCCCGGAACCCGTGAAGATCCGGGTTAGAATATTGGTCTTCAGTAACCCATGCTTGTCGTAAGAGCAGACTAACGGGATCGGGTGGTCAGGCTTGCTGACTTGGATGACACATGTCATCGGTTCCCAATTGCGCAGATCGATGCTCATGCTGTTGATCACTGGGTTGTCTGGTCCAGACACGATTAATTACAGACCGCCGCCATATAGCTGGAATATTGCTGAGTGCGGCGTAAAACTGAACTTACTCATTGTTGGCCCGGAAGCTACTGAGGCTGTATAAGGGCTTATTCCAGTACATGATTACTTGACATACTCTGCAGATGGACCTTAAGATAAAACCTTAAGTTCGGCTAAGACAGTCACGAAGGAACGAGCAACGTCATCATATCGCTTAAGATACCGTGTGTTACCAACGCTGGGAATCCACTGACAATGTTTTTGACAGCCTCATTAAATTCATTTCATAATCTACATTCCGTATTTACATTTCGATGCAAGATCCCACATTGACGGTTTCAACTGGGAAGTCAAGTAGCAAAGAGAAAAATCTTCGGTTTCACTTTTCAGGACAGCCTGTAAGCATTTGTCGATTTGACCACAAGCATCATGGGCGGACGTATGTATGTGCGTGTGCGTGTGTGAGAGAGACAGAGAGAGGGCCAAAGAGAGAGAGTGAGAGAGCGTAACCCCTCTTTTGTCCTGAAAGTTTATTAAATGACCATGGAAACTCTTGTGAATATGAAGTGTCCCCTCTCCCTTCTTTCTCAAAAAAGCTGTATCCGCCCCTGTGCATCAAGAACATTGAAGCAATACATCAATAGCAAACATACAAACACACAAACAAACACACAAACACACAAACAGAGTATCAGTTTAGCATAAGGCATTATGTTTAGGAAATGGCCACCAACCAGTGGAGTCAACTCCTCCGACACTGGTAAAATATGATGAAGAATCTCTGGCTGACATTCCGTTATCGTCCCGTCTGTTCTGGTAACTATGGCAATGGCGTTAAACATGTCAGGCTGACAAGTAGTCTATGGTACCAGACAACACCACTAGATAATGAGAAAAACAGACTGAAAGCAGATATGTGTACATTCAGTGCTATATCAAATATTCACGATCAACCAGTAATACATTCTGTATTTGTTTTGAAATACATCCCGGACATACGCGTATATTTATCTTGTATCGTTTGTTTCTATAACTCGTTGCTATTGACAATACTGATTAATTCATATTCTTCTCGTATATCGATTACCAGAAAATCAGTAATATTATTACAATTTCTTTTCTCCACTTATCACATTTCTGTTTGAACATATTTTAAGTAGATACGTATTTGATTCTGTGAAGTCAATCTTCGGAGCAAGCGTATATACTGCTCAAAAGAAGAAGAGGAACACCCGATTCTTTCATTAGGCGGGCAATACTGTAACGTTCTGATAAAGCTGTATGATTATTAATATGCTGATATCATT